TATTGCAATTCTGGAAGTTCTCTGTCAATATACTGCTGCAACCATTTTTTAATTATCTTCAGTAAGATTTTACTTGCATGTGATATTAATGATATTGTTCAATAATTTCCAAATTGTGTGAGATCGCCTTTCTTTGGAATGGGTACAAATATGGATCTTTTCCAATCAGTTGGCCAGGTGACTGTCTTCCAAATCTCTTGGCATAACTAATGAGTGCCTCCAGTGGGGCATCCGTTTGTTGAAACATCTCAATGAGTATTCCATCAATTCCTGCAACCTTGTTTTTTGCCACTTCCTTCATTGCAGCCTCAACTTCTTTCAATACCATTGGTTCTTGATTATATGCTGCCTCCTGAAATGGAGGAACATCAACCAATTCTTTTTGGTACAGGGACTCTATATATTCCTTCCATCATTTTTTGATGTTTCCTGCATCATTCAATATTTTTCCCATAGAGTCTTTCCATATTGCAACTCAAGGCTTACATTTTTTTCTCAGTTCTTTCAGCTTGAGAAATGCCAAATGTGTTCTTCCCTTTTGGTTTTCTAACTCCAGGTCTTTGCACATTTCATTATAGTAATTGGCTTTGTCTGCTCTAACTACTCTTTGAAATTTTCTGTTGAGCTCTTTTATCTTGTCATTTCTTCCATTTGCTTTAGCTACTCTCCATTCGAAGGCAAGTTTGAGAGTCTCTTCTGACATCCATTTTGGTCTTTTCTTCCTTTCTTGTCTTTTTCATGGATGATGTTCTTGATGTCATCCCACAGTTCTTCTAGTTTTCTATCATTGGTGTTCAGTGCATGAAATCTATTCTTTAGATGGTCTCTAAATTCAGGAGAAATATTATCAAGGTCTTATTTTGGCTCTTGTGGAGTTGTTTTAATTGTCTTCAACTCCAACTTGAAATTGCATATGAGCAGTTGATGGTCTGTTCCACAATAAGCTCCTGGCCTTGTTTTGGCCAAATATATTGAACTTCTCTATCACTTCTTTCCACGGATGTAGTCAATCTGATTCTTGTGTATTCCATGTGGTGAAGGCCACATGTATAGCCATCACATATGTTGTTGAAAAAACATATTTGCAATGAATAAGTCATTGGTCTTGCAAAATTCTGTCATGCAATCTCCAGCATTATTTCTATCATCAAAGCCATATTTTCCAACTACTGATAACTCTTCTTTGTTTCCAACTTCTGCATTCCAATCACCAGTGATAATCACCATATCTTGATTACATGTTTGGTCAATTTCAGACTGCAGAAGTTGGTAGAAATCTTCAGTTTCCTCATCTTGGGCTTTGGTGTTTGGAACATAAATTTGAATAGTAGTAGTATTAACTGGTCTTCCTAGTAAGTGTATGGATATTATCCTATCACTTACAGCATTATACCTCAGGATAGATCTTGATACATTTTTTTTTTTTTTTATGATGAATGCCACATCATTCTTCTTCAATTTGTCATTCCTTTCATAAGAGATATGATTGTCAGATTCAAAATGGCCCAAACCAGTCCATTTTAGCTCCCTGATGCCTTAGATATTGATCTTTATGCATTCCATTTCATTTTTGACAACTTCCAATTTTCCTACATTCATACTTCATACATTCCATGTTCCAATTATTAATGGATGTTTGCATTTGGTTCTCCTCATTTCAGGTCATGCCACATCAGCCAATGGAGGTCCCGAAAGCTTTACTCTATCCACATCATTAAGGTCATCTCTACTCTGAGGAGTCAGCTTTTCCCCAGTCAAATTTTGAGTGCCTTCCAACCTGATGGGCTCATTTTCCAGCAG